GGGGGGGGGGGGGGGGGGGGGGGGGTTGTTTGAAGGTATTGTAGTGGTGATACGCTTAAGATGGCTGTATTATGTTGATCCCATTTGATAACTATACTGATTGCATTAAAAAAAATTATTCACAAAATTTTAGGCAAAGCATCAAGCTACTTTTTGTTTTTGAAATATTGGCAAGAATTCAAAGCATATAATTGGAGCAATTGAATCTTAATTCTTTTTTTGATCAATTTCTGATGCTTGGTTCAAAAGACACTCTACTTTTTGATGTCCATGCCGAAAACACCTGCACCATCATAAAATAGGAGCTACGGTGGACTAAAGGACTGTCAATTTTGGCAGCTAGGACTCTAGTACTCTCAAGTTTGGAGGCTATGTTTCAAATACTATCTCAGATATATAAAGTTCATAAATTAGTAATAACTGTATGTCCAACATCTTCCTGCATAGAAAATAGCTTTATTAACTCCTATGGGACGTGGTTTGCTGGCTTCAGAAGTTCACTTTCCTTTTTTGAATTTCAGGGAGCTTTTACTCGACTTCTATACTAGTTCAGGAAAAAGGAAGCCTGACCAGATTATTATATTCAGGCAAGTATTTCTCTTAATACTATTGTATATATAGTAATAGCATGGTTGCGTTTTCAATGGGATCCTCTGGGATCCTCGAGTCAGTGGTATTGCATGGTTTTTCAACATTGCTTTAACTCGGCTTTTAAAGTTTGAGACATCAGACTGTTATTTTGTTTTCAATGCCTCGTTCTATATTTTGCATGCTTTTGAAGTTGCTTTTATACTTGTTTTTGAGTAGGGATGGTGTCAGTGAATCTCAATTCAATCAAGTTCTAAATGTTGAACTAGATCAGATCATACAGGTTCTACGAGCAGCTTGATTAAATAATTCTTAATATCTTTCATGATCCTCAATTTGAAGTTCTAGATATTCTTAATTATTTAAAATATTATAGGCTTGCAAGTTCCTTGATGAAAATTGGTCCCCGAAGTTTGTGGTGATCGTTGCACAGAAAAATCATCACACCAAGTTCTTTCAGTCTGGATCTCCTGACAACGTTCCTCCAGGTATTCCTATTGACCTTTTATTGTGTGTTGTGCGGTCGGTCTTCCTCTGAATAATATTCATTTGCACTTTCGTGTAGGAACTATTATTGACAACAAAATTTGTCATCCAAGAAACAACGATTTCTATCTCTGTGCGCATGCTGGAATGATTGTGAGTTCTGTGTTTGGGATTTTGTCTCAAACGTGTCCTACTGATAGCTGTTTTTTTCATTTTTTATTTTTAAATTTTGGTTGCTAATTTCATCTCTCTTTATACTCTCCAAGGGTACTACAAGGCCAACTCACTATCACGTTCTGTTAGATGAAATTGGTTTTTCTGCAGATGACCTGCAAGAACTTGTGCATTCTCTATCCTATGTGTAAGTATTATTTAATGGAAATGAATGTCACATTCTTCTTCATACACGGGTTCATAATATGTGGTCTTTGTCATCTCGTGTATTTTTATTGTACAGATACCAAAGAAGTACTACTGCTATTTCTGTAGGTAAGACAGTTTGAGTTCATCTACTATTTAACAAATGTTTAAGATGTCCTTGAACGTACCAAATTGTTGCATATGAAACTAAGTTGGTTGTGGCTTTAATATTGTGTTCTCATATCATTGGTGCAGTTGCTCCAGTTTGCTATGCACACTTGGCGGCCACCCAGATTGGGCAGTTTATCAAGTTTGAAGAAGCATCGGAGACGACCTCAAGTGATGGTGGTTTGACAAGTGCTGGGGCAGTTCCTGTTCCCCAACTCCCCAGGTTGCAGGAGAAAGTCTGCAACTCAATGTTCTTTTGTTAAAAGTGGTGGGTAGTAAATTAGTGTCTAATTTTGTTGCACAGGAGATGGAGGTGGTAGGCTCCCCATCCATTTATTTAGTAGAAGTCTCTGAGTGTTGTGATTTGACCTGTGTTTGGACAAAAAAAAAAAGAACTTGGAACTCTTTAGATTTTGGGCTCTGCTGGCCTGCCTGCCTTTGTTAAGTATATAAAGGCCAGCAAGGAGAGGGAGGGGGCTCTTTTGGTTTTATTATGTAGCAGCATAATCGTATAGTGGTCACCTTGCTGCATGAACTCTGAATTGCCTCCCTTGGCAGACATGACTATCACATTTTGTTTTATTTCTAGTTTGATCTACCCTACATTTGGTGCTCGAAAGGTTAAATGTTCTTCCCTGTTTTGGTTGGCGCTGCAATGGAGGTCCTCAAATCATGGCTACATTTTTCTGAGTCCCAAGGTCCAAAGGTTCATGGTATATTATTTAATTTTCATTAATTATTCTTTTTGGACAATTTTTTATTCATTAATGAGCTATATTGACTCCTAGAAAATAAGAACAGAAGGATAAAAGAAAAAAAAAATCTAAAATAATAAGTTTAATTAGTAAAGTTCACAAGTATTAGATTAAAAAGTTTTATTTTGTCATTTAATATTGAAAGGCCATTTTCTTGATAGGAGATAAGAATTACCAAATTAACTACATAAAACATTTTCAATCTATTTCTCTGCTCCATTTTCCTACTCGTCCTCTCCGGCACTGCTTCCGGCGTCTCTTACCAATTCTCCAACCTGTCTCTCTACGGCACTCCGATATCGCCATATCCATCAAGGGAATAAAACCGAACACCTCAATCTCTCCCAAATTCAACGCCACTGTTCGAACCGAAAATTCTAACAAAAAGATCGGAATCTACTACGAGAGAAACAGCAGCGTCGCCGTCTATTTCTTGGATGTGATGTTGTGCGAAGGCTCATTACCGGCGTTGTACCAGCCGGCAAGGAACGTGACGGTTATGGCAGCAAAGCTCAAAGGATCTGGCATTAGATTATGGAGCAGTGCGGCAGCCGGCAAGGAACGTGACGGTTATGGCAGCAAAGCTCAAAGGATCTGGCATTAGATTATGGAGCAGTGCGGCGAAAGCATTGAAGGTGGATCTAAGAGCTCCAATGAAGCTGAAGGTGTACTCAGTAAGGAGATTAGGGCAAAAGTAACGAAGGTAACGGTGAAGACAAAAGTGATGGAGGAGTTGCGTGAAACTGTGTTACAAACACTATCCATCCAGGTTGGTTTTCATTTCCTTTATTTCTCATTTTCAACATTCGATTCTTCCTGTTTACTTCCCGCTTTTTTTTCCTTTTCTTTTTTTCTTCTTAATTTGCTTTCTTAGTTTTCTTTGTTTTATGTTTTTTTTATCGTTTCAAAAAACAAAACCAAGTTTTGAATAAGTAATTTTTTAAAACATTTTTTTATTTTTTATAGTTCAGCTAAAAATATTAAATGTTTACTCCAATACAGTTAACAAGTGTGGCCTACTAATTTCAAATTAATATATTTTCATTCAAGTTAAGCAATTGTAAAGAAAAGAAAGGATCTTGAGAGATTAATTGAAAATTTCTAATTTATAATAAATGATTTAAAATTTAAACTTATCCAGAGCTTAGGAACAAAATTAAACACACATATTTTGACAATAAAAATGAAGAAAATATTGCAACGCAACCTCCTTTTTTTGTTCAACAATTACTAGACGGGAGATCAAACTAGTTATAAGATAATAATTGGTACTTTATCTATTGAGCCGCTTGAATTGTATGGACCGACAATGCAACGCTAATCTATACAGTGAAGATATTGACTAACAATGCAACACTAATCTATAAAATACTAAATTTCTTCGATAACAATAATTTAAGATTTAGAAACTAGAAACTTTTTATCAATATAAAATAGATATTTTAGAAATTTTTTATCAATATAAAATAGATTTGTAAAAATAGATCTATAGAATACAATAAATTTCTTCAATAACACTAATTTAACACTACAATAGGTATGTATCCTACATTGCTTGTTCAACAAATTCTAAAATAAATAAAGTAATATAATAAGAACGAATGGTGCTATAAGCTTTTCATATGAATGAACCTGTGAAGGATGTGTCCTTATGTTTATGGAGGAATAAAACTATACAATGCTTAATGTAACTCTGCAAATTCACTCATTTTGACGTGTAATGTAAAACACTCGTAGTTACACCTTCCAACATCATTCTTTATCTTTCTATTTATATGCATGTGTGCTGATTGCATACCAGCTCCTCCCTTATTTTCTGCTACAGTTTCAGTAATAAAAGAATAGCCTTTTTTATTATGTTTTCCATATACAAATCCTGTGACCTTCTCCTCCTGACTCGCTTCTAAAACCTTTGCATTCTTCGTTCATACTTGGACTCCTGATTACTTTTCTAGTCTCTGGGATTTCCACTGTTCGTAACTACTCTTGAAATCTTGGATGGTCTTCCCAAGTTCTGCATACATTTTCACAGAAGCCTCTGCAAAGTTATTCAAGTTTTCAAAAAACTTAACCAACCTCGACCTGAAATGATCAAAACCAGAGATCAACCTCTCTGATGCTTCGTCTTGTAACAAATTATTGCCCAATGACTCGCTGTCATTGTCTCCCTTAAAGGAGGTTAAGATTGAAAGATTTTTCGCAACCTTCCCCTTCCCCTTCCCCTTCCCCAAGTTTTTCTCTTGGCGTGGCAAAAATCGGGTGGTTTCAGCTGCCAAGTCCTTCATCGAATCTATGACCTCCTTCATAGGTAAATCGTCAATCTTCTCCAACCAGACACTACATGTAACGTATATAGGGGGCGGTCCATAAGTTCTGATGGATGGGGATTGTGTTCTTCTTTTTCCCTTTGATTTTTGAGGTAGAGACACACATGTGCGAAGCCACCCATCTATCAATTGCAGATACAACTTCTGCGCTGCAATCCACTTCATGAAACTTGATGATAGAGATGCGAGTTCGGTTTCAAGATAGATGGTATTGTGCCTCCTTGTTTCAGACTGCATTGAGATTCCCATGTTGCCATGGTAGGACGCTGCTTTGATGACTTGTAGTTGACGCTTGTGGCAAACAAACATCACTTCCCACATCCGACTTAACCTATCATAGTCCAAACACAAAGTGCAAAGTGGTGAATCCTCAAAACTATGACCTAAAGATAAATACTACGCCAACATATCAAGATAACTTACTTATCTCCAAATGTAAAGATATAATATCTACATGTTGCAAACAAAGAATGTGCATATTCTAAAATGAACTTGTGCCAAACCAACCAAGCATGATGGTAGCAAAAAAGAAAACTCACGCTTCAATCAACTCCTCAAGTTGCGGTTGGAGCTCTTTGTCCCGTAATTCTTCAATCTTCTTTGATATAGAATCTATTCTATGAACTCCCACTCCGATTCTGGAATGTAGATCCTTGATAACAGCTCGTGTTTTATCAACTTTTGGTAGACCCACTTCCTTTGATTCTAAATGCCGTAGCACTTGACACTTCAGGTCGTACTCTTTCCTGACCATCTCACTAGCCTGCAATTAACAAAACAGAACCTATGTTAAAGAACTTACCTCCACATGACAAGTCATTTCTGAAATCTAAAGATGCACAAAATAGTGGAAATGGTTAAAAGGATAATCAATGATACAGGTTAAAAGTTCCGCAGTACCTTGACTTCATCATAGAGCTTCTTTTCCCATGCATACAGCCTATCCAAGGTTGAAGCATGACTACCTGAGTTCATGCAGAAGTTCTCAAATAAGCTGCTAGAGTGGTCCTCAACATCCTCTTTTGAGTTTCCACCCAAAGGATTTCTTGATGAAGAGGAGTGTGATGATGCCGTCCTATGCCAAGTTAAGTACTTCGTTGCAGTTTGAACCGGCTCTAAGATAACACAAAGAACGACAACTGATTAATGAAGATATCATAGTGGAGAGTTACACGAAAACAGGTTGGATATCGACTACAATTATCATCCAGTCACAGCTTATTAATATAGAAATGTGGGCTCATAAAATATCTCAACAGGGTTACATATGCATCTCAATGAAGTTCGTGGGAACAAGACCAGCATGTTTGAAAATTAGTTGTATGTCCCAAGTTGATTCAACATATACAAGTCAATGGCACAGAAGAACATTGAAAAACAACGCTGCTTTCATTGCATCACATATTCATATGCTCATTCAAGAAAACTACTTAAGCCAAAAGGACTGCTCGTTGTTCTTGTCAACCCATCATGTTTAGCAACAAGCATAGTAAGAACCAATAAACATAACTCAGCACTAAATCAACATAACGTTCCTGTCACCGATAATGCTCTAAATAACAATGATGAAAAATGAGAAAATGACGATGCACAATTGTCCTTGTTCAATTAAAGGTGGGAAAAGAAAAAATAAAAAATAAAAAATAAAAAAGGTCCTATTGACAAGGCATTTCAATTCTCACTTAAAGCTGCAAATGTCTTGGTTTCATTTTGTTTAGGTTTTAAGGATTAGTTAGTAGGATCATTTACTTTTGGTACTTATTTGTAACCTAAACCTTCACCTATAACTGAACCTATATATAAATATAAAGGTAGAGCTCCCCGTTTGTACCCAAAATTTCAGAGGTAATAAAAGTAGCCCCTTTTTGGCTTAGCTCTCCATCACCTTGAGTGACAGACAAACATACATACATACACACACACACACACACATATATATTATGTGTATGTAATGTATGTAGATAACATGAGATACACATACACATATATATGTATGTGTATCGTGTGTGTGTGTCTTTTTTTCCTTTTAAGAAACCACATTTTCAGTGAGAGAAATGAAAAAAAAAAAAAATACATATATACAAGGGTACACGAAGAAAAGCCTGTACAAAAAGGAGTTGAACTCCAACCCAAATGAGGCATAAACCTATTTTCAATGAGGCATAAACCTAACCACCACCCAAACCTCCTCACCTGTTTTCTTAATCTCTCCAAAGATCCTATTATTCCTCTCAAACCAAATGCCCCACAAAATTGCAAAGAAAGAAACAAGAATGCAACCCTAATTACATTTTGGATGAGTGAGATGCAGGAGTAGGTTCCATAACAAATGGAAAAATATCAAATATAAACACAAGGCTCTAAGGAAATTCTACAAAAAACCTGAAAATGCCACAAAACTTGCAGCTTAAATCATAAAACAAAAGATGTTTTCTAGATAAACAAATACGAAATTAATATAGCTATGGTTAAAGTGGATCGACCAAGAGGTATTTGACAGAGAAACAAAGGCGGGAACAGAAGAGGAAGATTTCTCTATCCATCTTCAGCTTTAGCGAGGTAAAAGGCTATTTGGTGCCAAGCTCAAAAGTGTCATTTCCTTACATAGTAGTTGCGTGGGTAAAACCTACATTACATGTAATATTCCTCGGATAATTACCAAATAGTTGGTTGATCTTTCGTCTTCTTTCAGTGCCATCCCATCTAATTAGGAACTGGAGAATTTGTATTATAATATGTTGACATTTTTCTTGGTTTCTGAGTTTGGGTAGCTTACTGTCAGCATGTCTGTTCTGCTCCTTGGACCTCCCAATAACTGTTAGGTGGCTTGTACTCTAGCCCTCCTTGGTTTTTCCATCCGTTGTCAGGGTTTTGAACTTTGTCATTTGGTATAGTGTTTAATACAGAGAATTGAGCATTAATCATCCTAACTGGAATACTGGATAGCCTATGTTTGGTGAGTACAATCAACTTATCTACAGCAAAAGAGTCTCACACCCCCAAAACATTTCATATTAATGTACTAAACCAAGGAAAGGAAGTAGAGTACTTCCATTAATCCTAACTTACTTCATACTTAAACAGGTAACTTCTAGCATAGTTAGGATGGATGTCATTCAAGTTTAGTTACAGACTGTTATAGACATTTGACATAATATTTAGAAGTCATCAACATTGGGTATTCAGGCATTTCAACAAATAAACACTGACAAGTTACGTCACCTCATGAGCTTAACTAATAAAGAGAGTTTGGACCTCCCAAACCAACCAAAGAACTAGATACTTGATAAACGGACTTAATTCACAATGTATGAAGATCAAACCAACAAAGGTGCTTATACCTTCCCGAAGAACACTTGGGTCATCTCCACATGAAAAGCAGGACTTCAACAATGTCGATGATAATGATTGGTCTGCACCGGAGGAAAACCAATCCAGTTAAAATATTTCAACAGGATATTCACGAGAAAATCCTTTAAGACATCTAGATCCTTTAAAAAAATTACAATTTAAAAAATCAGCTGCCTAGCTGATCAGTACACAATTGCTCCAAATAATTTAACTGCAGCTTTGAAATAAT